AAAAAAATGTAGACACCTGGAAGATTCCACAATTTTTGTTAAAATGGCATCGTGTTTTGTGAAAAATAGTAATTATGCAATATTTTACGTTATTTTGAAATGGACTCTAGACGACGAACAAAAATTTCAACAAATTGGAAACTAAAGGTCTTCAAAGAGAAATCTCTCAGCTTCCCAAATCACTTCTGGAATTTTCTATACGATCATGCGTTCGCAAGTTACAGGCGCTCAAAGTGGAAAGTACCTTTTCTCATATGATGACGAATAACTCGGCCAATAAAAACTGTACAACAAAATTAAAAAAACGAAATTAAAGAGAAAAGTTTGCTTTTTAAAAGTATTCCATTGGAATTACCAGAAAAAATTTCATTTGGCCCATGCATCCTCTCAAACTTGACCAACATTTTTTAACATTCGCTTACTGCGCTTCATCTTTTAAAAAAAAGGAACAAACTACATAAAAATAATTTTTGAATTCCCGATTCAAAAACTAGAAACTTCGGGCTACAAAATGCTCTGTCACAATATTTTTTATACCTATTTTTCGCGAAGATATAGGCATCTGAAAATGACCAATATTTTCGGCAAATTTTAGTGATGTTTTAATTTTGGCGCCCAGTGTATAATCAATTAAAATGATGGCCTCTAGAACACAGACATATTATGTATGACTTACTACTGGCGCATAGGGTGGTTAATGGCGTCATCCTGATATCTTATCTCGCTTTAAGTTAATTACGTCAGCGTCATTCAGAAGAAATCATCCTCCTACTACTTCAAGAGGCCCACCGCACGAATTATGGTCAACATAATTGCATAAACCGTAGAATTATGAATGTGAATGAATTCTGTGTATCGCTGGATCTTTAGTTGAAATTTGCCGCTCTTTAGTGAAAATTGCCGCGGAATCGCAATTTGCTTTCATGACTTCGAGCACAGTTTTTATAAGAAAATGCTGTATTTTTAGGAAAGACTTCTTTATTTTTACACGGAATTCTTGTACTTCTTCTGCAAACAATATTTCAGTGATGAGAATATATTTTAGAACACTATTTCATTGTAAACTGTGTTTCTATTAAGCCATATTATATACTCTGCCTGAATAATCTATATTAAGTATAAAGTGATTAAAAGTATTTTCTGTCATTATCCGAAAAATGATTATGCAAACTCACATCTTCTTGGTTCATAAATTTTTCTTCTTGTTACAGATGTTAGTATACAATAAAAACAACGTAAAACACATTATACA